CGGTACATGGAGTCCATCTAGAGTACAGGTGGGATAGTCATGAGAGTCTTAAACTACTTGTTTATACAGTAAGAGTTAAGAGTGACCCTTGCATGTTTTCTATTTCAGTCTATTCCTCTGTTAATCTTACAGCTTCCATTAGTTTTGTAATTCTGGGATATTTATTTCAGAGAAAAGAATCATAATTTCAGAATAAAGAGCAGATGACCCAGAGTTTTAAGTATTAAGTCGCTGACCTCAAACATAATGGCTATTTCCAAAGCTAAAAGTCATATCTGACTATTAATAGCAACTGAAAAAATAGCTGCTTTTTTATTCACAGATTCTAGGACAAGAACTTAAAAGAAATGCCAAAATGGATCAAGCCAATGGCTCATGAAACTAGTGTTGTGCTTGGTCAGTTAACTTATAACTTCATCAATCTTCTCAAATTGGAAGAGATCTGTGAAAGAAACTTGATTGGTGTTAAACTCCATGCATTCTACAGTGCAAATGACCCTTAGAAATAAGCATGTGTTTTTTTATCAGACCAAGCACAGTCTGGACATGTGTCCCTCTGGGGAGTAGCTGTTTCTGAAGGGACAGATATGACAAAGTATCTTTAAAATGACAAAAATAACTCAAGAAATTTTGATGATGAATTTCATTTTCTTGTTAGAAAGACACTAGTTGTCCAAATAATATGTATTGTATCCTATCCTATTCTATTCCATTCTCTACATAACTTTCTTTTAAAAATATTTGCCAATTACAGTCATAAAGTTAATAAATAGAAAAGTTTACAGATTTTGTTGACATCTTTGCAAATAATTTTGAAAGTTAACCATTTTTGCTGATGGCAAATTAAAAAATGATGACTTCTACAGAGCTCTCTTTAGTTTCTAAGCACTTAAATATATGCAACCTTATTTTACTTCATAACAACCAGATAGAATTTAGTGTGGTTTCCATTTTGCAAATATAGGAATATGGCAGAGGTTAAGTGATTTCTCAAAGTCACTCAGTTGATTAATGATCAACTGAGGCAGATGATGGGATTTTTCCCTCTTTTCTCCAATTCAGTACATTAGGCAATAGTTCCTCAGTTTGTGGGCAAGTAAAATTTTAAAAAGTTATTTCAGAGGGTCTAAAATAAGACCGCCAGTTTTGTCATTTTTTAACTAAAGAAAAAACTTATATAACTTCTGTCTACTCTTTTTATCATATCATAAAACTGTCATTTATTAACCCAAAATAGAAAAAAAATCATTTATAAATAAGTATAGTCCTATGAATTAATAAAATATGTTTTATGAGAAAGCCACTATATTTTACTTTTTTTCTCATTTTGTAATGGACTGGTGAAAACTCCTGTAGTCTGGAACTAGTACTCAGACCAATACTGGAAACCATTTCCCTCTTTTGAGTCATTTCAAAAGTCATACTAACTCTTCTACATCTTTTCCTGCTTGTATTGGTAGTCTTAAAAAGAAACCAAAAAGTGCTGCAAGTTTCTCCTTTTGAAAGATGCTGTTCTTCTGCTACTATAACAAAATGATGAGTGTACTAAATTTATATCACAATTAAACATAGAACCGTGGGTCAAGTAGGCATGACTAAGCTGAGGGTTAACAGGAAAACAGGAAATACAGAAGCAACATGGTGCATACCCCACCTCATTCCTTCAATATCACCTTTTTTTTTTTTTTAGATGGAGTCTCACTCTGTCACCCAGGCTGGAGTGCGGTGGCACGCTCCCGGCCATTGCAGCCTCGACCTGCTGGGCTCCAGGGATCCTTCCGCCTCAACCTTCCAAGTAGCCAGAACTACAGGCGCATGCTACCACGCCTGGCTAGTTTTTGATTTATTGTAGAGATGAGGTCTCGCCAAGTTGCCCAGGCTGGTCTTGAAACCGCGGGCTCAGGAGATCCACTCGCCTCGGCCTCCCAAAGTGCTGGGATTACAGGTTGAGCCACTGAGCCCGGCTTCTATATATCACCTTAGTAAGAAGCAAGGGCAGGAAAAATGCTTTGTCCCCGCCTTCTCAGTTCTCACTACACTTTCAAACTCATCCAGGGAAATAAATTAGCATGATGACTCCCACCTAGGCACGGGTTGAGTTACATTTGGTTTTACTTCCACAAAGGACATTCTTATTCCTTCTCCCAGACTTGATTTTATATGCTACAAGGAGTTCCCAAGATTTATATGACAAGGGAACAGCTAATTTTATAATACTTTATAGTTAATCTACCATTGTATATTACTAAAATTCCAAGGAGACTGAAGTTGGTTTACTGGACACTCTTAAATTGACCTTTTCCATGTTGGTTGTGAAAGTTATGTTTTAACACACACTGAACAACTATCAAATCTCATCCAATCATAAGAATCAGTGCATTGTCCCCTGGTGTCTGTGATCTTCTTTGATGTCTTCTTCAGCTTGGGGAGGGATGTGTATGAATAGTTTAGTGAAAGAGAAAAAGGACACCCAACTATGTAGCCCAATCAGCCAACTCAAACCCTGTGATCAGTGTCACAGCAAGAATACCCAAACCCAAATCAGTACCATATGGAAAGAGGTTCACCAGTGGAAATTGTATCAGGAAAGGGCCCTGTGATGATGGTCATGCTCAACAGACACAGTGCCATATTCCACAAGGATTGCCAAAGTAACATATTTTGTTTCCTATTCCTTTAATATTTACACATTTTAATCATAACCAAAAATTATTCTCTGAGATAAAGAAAGATAAATGCTTGTAAATCACCAATGACCACACATTAATATTTATATACATGTTTTATAGTGGAAAATATTTTACTATATAGCATCATTTCTTTTTAAATTTATTTTTATTTTTTTAATTTTTAAGCTTTTTTATTTTAAAATTGTGGAGTACAATTCAGGGTTAGGTATATAAATATTCATTATGCAGGTACACTTGTTGATGAGGTGTGCCCTCCCCCAGGCAGATTCCCACTACTGTCAATAGCATTATTTCTTAAGAATATTCTGATAAAGGCAATATTACTTCCATTTTGTTGAACAACTAAGGCTCAGAGAAATTATGTGATTTGCTCAAAGTCACACCAACAAGAGTTAGAACTCACACTTGGTCTTTTGATTTCATGTTCAGAACTCCTTCCATTACTTACCTTCTTCACAAGAAGTCACCTCTAAAGGTGAGCTCCAAAACATAATGAACACACAAAAGTTGCCTATTATTTCAATCAGGGTAAAAGGCTAATCTATCAATAACTCAGGAAGAAGGGTTACCATACTACTAAAAGATCTGGGAAGGTTTGTGGCCTTCTTCAGTTTTTCCACCTTTAATATAAAATGCCAGTGTTGTCTGTATTTTTCCTATTTGGTATCCTAGAATTCATCCCATAAACCAGCCAGTATAGGATAGCCATGAATCAGGGCAAGAAGAACACTGGCCATTCATAAAATAAATTATTTGGAATCACTTTCATTATATCTACTCTTCCAAAATAGGCATTTTTGTGACACTAAATTTTTAAAAAATTATGAAAATGTTGATAACATATTTTTGTGGTTTACCTACTGGGCAACAGCTATCCAAAATATCCAAAATATATTATTTACAATCTATACTTGACATAACAAAAAGGATAGCTAAATAATAAGAAATTTATGACTACTGTTATAATGAAAAAGCTTGTCCATTTTAAGTAGACTAATTTTAGAAGCCAAAGTAGGACTATGTTTTCTGAAATTAATAACTAGCGTTAATTCAAACCAAAAGTTTGAACAACATTAACTAATGCTACTAAGATTATCAGGAATATTAGCCTTGCTGTTTACTATAACTTTTGTTTTTATATTTGATTATAGGCTCTGTTTATGATTTAAAAAAAAAAAGAAACATTAAGAATCATTTCCAATACTGGAAAAAAATAAGCAAACTAGGTACTGTTATTTCTTTGTCCCTAGTTCACATGATTTAGATTGATTAAAATGTTAATTTTTACATATGTGAATAAAACTTAAAGGCACAAACAACTGGAGACTGCACCATGTGCTAGCAATCATTGCGGGTGGGTAAACTGACAACATGTAACTGCATATTAAGACAAATGTAGAATTTAGACAAAGTATTCCATCTCTTTTCAGATGTATACTTTTAAACCTCAGGAACTGTTTTCAGTAGATGTCATGCCTTTTAACTTGAAAAAAGATAAGCGCAAATAAGCTCCCAATTGTCTCCCCAATATGTAAACCACATCTCGGGCTGCTGTCTCTGCTACTCCTTTGAAGTTTCCCTGAAATGTCATGTGTTGTGAAGACTGCTGTGCATAAGCAAGACAATTTGCTCACTCTCAGAATTCTTACCGGTTTCCACTGCTATTTGGTATCCAGCCTCTAGTCTCCGAGATGACCTTTCCAGCCTCTCTGTGTTATCGAGCAGATGTGCCCTCTGAAAAAGAAAAAGGGAAAAAAAAAAATCAGACGGTCGTCTACAATGTTCTTTTTTTTGCCTTAAAAAAAAAAAAAGTCTTTGCATGTATGCTCTAACATTTTTTGGGGGGTGGATCTTACATCCCATTATAGCTACTTTTTAGCAAATTTTTCATTATAGAAACCATAGCATTGAAAAGATATACAATCATGTATAAACCATACACTTTTTTTGTTTTAAAAAGAAGACTCATGTCATATATGGCCACATTGAATCTTACTCCAAAACACTGAGAAAAGTATGAGGACCAGGGCCAACTGGGTGCTTTCTGTTTCAGCAGAGATAGATGTATGAGGTATTTGTATTGATCAATGCTCCCTATTTGTATTTTTTTTTTTTTTTTTAATAAAATGCAATCATCTAAAAAACTCATTTGTTCCTTTGGTTCCTGCAGATAGTAATTTTTAAATAGATATTTGATTTGTAAGAAAATGCTCCTCAGTTTTGGATGTGCAGTAAGATGCTATATAGAAGAACATATGTTACTAAGACAGAATACTAAACAGCACTTCTAGTTTTAAGACAACTGGGGACAACACCAAGAAACAAGAGATATATGTTTCTCCATTTACCTAGATGTACAAAATTGTGGACTTATTCCTAAATATAAGGCACTATGTAAACTGAAGTTAATCTTTTACTACATGGTGTTTTAGACAGTAAACTGAAATTACAATAATTGTACATACCTCTTTTATATCTGATAGAGAAATTAGAGAATTTCCCCAAATCCTCGGCTTCTAAACTTTCTTTTCTGCATTGAGACTGGTTTTTGTTATTTTAAAAAACAAACAAACCCATAATGATCATACACTAGATCTAATCAGGCTGCCCAACATATTTCTAAATCAATCATAGTTGTGAATGGATAAAAATATATGCATGTGTGTACAGATATATGTATGTCTAGACACTTAGAAACATACGAATGCATGTATCTGTGTATTTTTGTGTGCGTTCATGCATACATAAATTTGTGTAAATTAGTACTTTCTCAAATCAGTTGTGGTATCTGGTCTAAAAGAAAGAAAAATCACAAATACAACTCCTACAACTTTGTGTTGTTGACAGATGTCATTTAAAATAGGAGAAAATGCTTTCTAATAATAAAAAAGGAGGTGCCACACATATTATCTGAGTGGCTGTCGAGCGAAACGATCTACCTTGCTCTAATGAGCCCCCATGGATCTTGGAGATGCAAGCTGTATTGACATGCACACTTAAGCTAATACACCTAGACCAGTGCCTCCAAGCTCTAGCAGCCAGGGATGCTGACAGAATATCTCGCTTCCATCTTCAAAGAAAGGAAGTGATTAGTATGTTATCATTACCATTCAAAACGTGATTTCCTTATTCCCTCCCGGCATAGGTGACACATCTGAGATGCGGCCAGACGTTGGAGGCAGCTAAAGCCACATCAAAGCTTTCCTTGAAATTTTTTTGGGGGGAAGGGTTGGGGGGGAGAATCATTAAAACAATGCATTTAGAACAGAGAGATAGGACCTGATGTGAAGGTCAGGAAGCTGCAACAACAGTCTATAATAATTAATAGAGTTGTCTAATATACAGAAGAGAAATTAATTTTAAAAACTGCCTCCTCCCTCTGCAAAAAAAAAAAAAAAAACAAATAAATAAAATGGAGGGAGAAAGGAAGGAAGAAAAGCTTCTTCTATGATGAAAAAGCAAAATCACTGAAGGCAGTAATTTAGAAAAAGAAGAGCAAGGGGAATTCTATGTGTTTGGCATTGATGACTATTTTTAAATAAAATTAAGCACTTTATCAAGACTTGTCAGAAACAGCTTTCTTACTCCTAGTTCTCCTACATGCAGGTGTTGGGAGTAAGAATTGCTCCTCCCTTCCCTGAATATTGTTTTTCTACCTTAACAAAGAACTTAACTTCAAACTAGTGGTTCTCTAAAAAGATTTCAATCAGATCTCTGAAATCAAGAGTAAATATGAATTTTAACACAGAATGAGATAACAAAGATTTCTGGTTCATTTTCATATTGGATGAAATTCATTTAATTATTATAGATTTTAAAAATCCACAACATTCAGCTTATATAATAATATATAATGCAGCATTTAAATAAATTCAGCTTATATGATAATATATAATGTAGCATTTAAATAAATAAAGCATTTAAAGTGTAGAATGGTTTGGGGGAATTCCATAGCTATAATGGAGAGCAAAATTTCTAAAATAACTTTTTAAAATGTATATTACTAAATAATGGAAGTAACTCCTCTTCAGGACAGTTCAATTTTTATCAGAGTTAATCTCCACACAAGAGGACTATCAGTTTACCAGCAGCTTTTCAGCAGGATTTCACTTTGTATTTTGGAACCTCTTCACTTAAGTCAAGCTAAAATCAAGTTCTTGTAACAGCTGCGCTATTTACATTGTTCCCTTAGTTGTACATTGCCCTGGTCTCTGTAAATGAAAGGAAATACACTACAGTAGCAGCTGATGCTTTCAACTTGCCCCCACACTCCATCCCAAACTCATTCTCTCACCCGCTCCTCAGCCCTTTTCAAAGCAGGTAAGTGAAGCTGTGCAGAAGCTTCAGACAGAGCTCAACTTGTGTGAGGAGCTGTGCAATGTGGAGAGCTGGAGATGCAGGATTCAAGCGGAGCTCAGTACTGCCAACACCAGATCAGCTCCCTCTGCACTACAATCCTGCCTCCAAGCATGCCCCGTTTCCAGAACTGAGCTGGGAAAAGCATCACAAAAAAGCATGGGGAATATTTTGTTTCCAAGCAAAACAAAACATCATATTTTGGAGCAGATGAGTGCTTGTCTTCTTAGCATAGGTGCAAGTTAAGAAATATGGGATCACAATGACAGTATGATTACGATTAGAATCCCAACTGAGAAATATTTACCTCTCAGCAACCCATATGCCAATGCAATATCATCACTGTTATCTGTTCTATACGTATCAATGACACAGCCAAAGCAAAGACTGTTGAAAGAATATTTCAGAGTATCTGATTCTATTAGTTGAATGATCTAATTCAACATTGAGTGATATAATTCCATTATAGGTTACAGTTTCAGAAACATGAATTCTAGAACCATAACTGATGAAACTGCTTCTATAGGCACCACAAAAGAATGAAACCACCAAACAATAAGAAAACATATTTTTAAAGAAAAGCAGATGTGAAGTTTTCAGCTTTTAGAATTAAGATTTCTAATGCCACACAATTCAGCTTAATAAAAATAAATCTTCTGTCAAAAATGCTGATTGTAATAAGGCACAAGATTTTATTTATCATACTCTTTGTATAAATTCAGGGGCAAGGGCTTTGTGTATTTTCTTTCTAAAGAGGTTTCACATCTATTGTTGGATTCATTAACATTTGAAAATTCAGATTCTTCATCTAAACATGAGTATATGCAAATATAACAAGCAGATATTCTATATTGTAGAAAAATAATGTTGATGTGCCATTCACCTCAGAATATTATATCAAAACTACAGTCGCATATATTCATTTAGTATATACATCTGCTTCCATGGAGGGAAGATTAAAAACAAAAAAAAGTTTGGAGGGTGAGAATTTTTGTGTATTTTCCCCTTCATTTTATATGTCATTATTACTCTATTAAGGGAAGACATCACGAATGCATCTTAAATCAGAAGAGTTGTTGAAAACCACTACCTACAAGCTTCAAAATTAACATCTGCATCTCCTACAGAATGATGACATATTAGTAAAAAAAACTTCGAGGAAAATCTCAATTAACCCAGTCAAACTAAACTCAAAAATAATTATCAGTATTCTGATGACTATAAGCAATTTGATAATTTTTAAATTGCAATATGAATAATTATTTTATGCCCTAATAAAAAATAACAAAATTCAACCCACTAAATTAAAAATATGGTAACTACTCTATCTCTGAAAAGAATACCAACACATCTTTAATATGCTTGACTTATTTTTCAAAAATGGAAACATTCAATATCCATCATCAATAAAGGGATAAAATTATAAACATTGCTGTAAATATTTGCTGAGCCACAAAAAAAGTCTGCAGTTGCATTGTGAAACAGACTAGGAAACTCAGAAAAATGAGAACTCACTTGGGTGCTGTTTCTTACAAAAAGGAAAGTGTTTAGTAATGACAAGAACTTTGGCTATTGTTAGGTATCTATGTACACAGAATAGTAGGGTATTTATAACATGTGTGTTTCCCCCAAAAGGACAATAGATCCATGGTGTCTTACATTAAATCTAACAATTTTGGGTGAGGGAAAAAAGTTTATTTAACAACAGTATACTGTAAAATAAATCAGAATGTCAGAAAAAAATGTAAATAATATTAACTTCCCTGAGAAACCAATGTAAGTAAAACAAACTTGAAGTTAGAGCCTACAATAAAGCTATACGTGGGTATAGTTTTAAGATGTTCCTCTTTTTTTTTTGGCCTTTAAGATATTAACTTTCTCCTAATGCCAACAAAGAAACAATAATCCCTTCAATAAGCATGATTAGGATATAGTTATTTTTAAAAGATGGTCAGCAGAGAAGTTTTCTGAGCAATATAATCAATACCTATTACTATGTATAAATTTCCCTAGAAAAATGAATATAAAGATCCACTACAGATTCAAAATCTCAATTTTATAGGGGCAAACAGAATTTTTAAAAAAAGGAAGCTAGAAAGTACTCACCTCTTCACGTAATTTTATCAACTGCAACATGAATGCACCAAAAAAAAGATAAAAAGGAAAGAAATGGCAGGAAAGAAAGATCAGTTGTGTGACAGGATACAGAATTAACATTGACAATTTATCTGTTTACATGTTTAGCATTTAAAAATCACAGACAAACACATTAAAAGAACCTAAACATAGACTACATGCAGAGTTTTTTGAACGAATAAAGATCACTTTCTCACACTGTCACATTAAACAAAGAGAATAGTGTGAAATTCTCTTTTAAAGTACATCTAAGACACCATCATGAAATAAAGGGGAACGACTTCATAGAAGTCTATATTATAAAGAAAGAAAACAAGTTTACTGTTCCTCTCTTCTAAGAATGCACCATTGAAGAGGTTTTGTATATACAAGTTTTCAGGATGTTTCTCTATTTGGAATCTTGACAACTGATTTCACATTTTACCTACAAATGAAAATGATTAATGGCTCATGCTTTGGTTCCAATAAGTATTTAAAACACACACTATTATGTTAATGCCACACTTGTACCTGCTCTGGTATCAGGATTGCATCTGTGGGTAACACTATTTTAACTGAGAATAAAATATGCCAGTACAGATAATATTCATTTAGGATATAGTATAGAGAAATATTTCACTATCCTTAAAACTATTGTGTATATCAGAGTAAAAACATAGGTTTTTGTTTTGCTTAAGAGGCTACTGCAATTATATGGTATGTTTTCATTTTCTTTATTTTTCTGTTTTCTTTATATTGTAAACTGGCAATTAATTCTCTTACTTCATTTGTACTGCAGTCTGATTTCACTAAAGTCAAATTTTAAAAAATCATTCTATTTGTTAGTAAGTTCTCCTATTATAACATTTTAATTTTCCTATGTAGAACATTTTTCTATTTGTCTTTAATATAACAGATAAAACCAGTAGCTTAACTCTTTAGAAACTAAAATAATGATATAACTATGTATCTGGCCCATTCTTGCTCTGTCTCTGCCTCTGTCTCTGTATCTCTCTCTTTCATCTTTGTGTGTGTGTGTGTGTGTGTGTGTGTGTGTGTGTGTGTGTGTGTGTGTGTGTGTTTTGACACTATTCTAAACCACAAGTATCATTGTATAATTGAGATGATGACCACAGTTTCTACAATGAATGGAAACTGAAACCTATGTTGTAACAGACTAAACCACATTTTAGGTCTGAAATTTGCATCCTCAGCAATTCAGGTCTACAACTGATAATTTTTAAACATCCAAATATATGTAACATCTGTTATAACACTTGACATATGCAGGCCAATAAATTAAACTATTGCTCTGGGAGAAACATGCTGTGGATTGCTCACTATAAACCTTTCTAAAAGTATCATGTTTACTGTAGCCCAGATATCTTAATGCTTAATGCTGTTTTTGTCTCAAATTCAAGGAAGGCAGTATGTATTCCAGCTTATTCTGCTATTTCATTTGTAATATAAAAAGTATTTCGATTTCAAAATTGTTATGAGTTCTTCATAAGAAGGGTACAAAATTTACCACATAACAGCTACAGTGTTTTCAGTAGAAATGAAACTTTGATTATTGCCCTTTAACAAACACACACATTCTCTCAGCAACTATCCATTCAGTTGTGTACGAGTAAAGCACCTCATCATTTCGCATCATTTCACATTCTTCCCAGAAGTAAAATTTTAAAAATTCCTGACCTATCATATATCGGAATCTTTCTCTTTACCATCCCAACATCATGGGAGAAAAAGGTAAACATTAATTCTCAGAAAGAGATGATCTGGGAACTGATCCGCCAGCTATCTTTCTTTCTGGGGGCACCATTCTTCAGTTGACTATGATACTTAAAGGGCCAAAGTTTAAAACTACTCTTCTGCAATAGAGACCATTTGGGGCATGCCATCCTGCCATAATCAATGAGTGTTTAAAAATGCTACCCATTTGTTTTTTCAATAGGTTCCAAACAAAAAACGTTCTATCTTATTTGTGCTGCATGGCTGCATTCAAGTTCCACACCGGATTTGTAGCTAAGCTAGGTAATGGGAGGGTTTTTTAATCTTTATATATATATATATATTTTTGGTTAGTCCGAGTTATTCATTCAAGTAAACAAAAGATGGTCTATTTTTGAAAATTAACAAAGCTTAGACTAGACTGTAAATAGTGATTTCTTATTTTATCAAGTTGCTAGCTCCATCATAGGCAACATGAAAGTGTGCAATGCCACCATGTTGAGTTATGATAATCAACATCTTTTTTGAAACAAAGATTTTTTTTCCCCCAATGCAGAATTTGATACAAGAGGTAATCTGTTCCTTTGTGGGCTGAAAAAATCTGGTTTACGCTGGTTTGAACCAGTGGAATCTCTTGTGGTTAAGCCTTCTGCTGTGACTAAAATCAAAACTGCACTGCAGAGCATGTGAGGGTTCATGCGCGCGCGCCTCTGTGTGTGAGGGGCGTCACGTGACCCCCAGAACTACCGAATTTTTTTTTTAAGCTGATAACGCGACTGCCGTCTCTGTCCGCATACAGATAACGAATAAATGCTGAACTCTATTAAACGCCCTTTACACATTATCGTGGGTCGAACACACAATTTTCTGAACTTATGATGACAGTCTATTTATTTTGCTATAAACCCTCAGCACGTAACGAACAGATTTGTGCCTGGTAATGATCTGCTCTGCCAGGGCTATATGAAATGATACCGACATTCTTTAGATCTTGGGGAATTAAATTGACCGACTTCACCCCCTGGTCTATAGCTGAAGTTTGACACACTTTATGCACAGCAAGACCAAATCGGAACTTAAGAGAGCCTCGTATTAAAAAATTAAGAAATCATTATCTGCTAAATATTGCTCTGCCACAAAACTTTCTGCACATTTGGGAATATCCTATTCTCTATGTATTTTTTGAATCCTCTATTTAGGATTTACTCAAAGTCATTGATCAATATAATTTTGCATATAGAGACTGAGAGATTATTAGAGTTGAACACTAGGGCTTGGAACATTTCATTTGCTCCATTATCATACTTCACTATAAAAGGCTTTATGATTTTATTCTGTAAGCTGGCTTTTTCCTTTTTTGAGAATGGTTTTCATAAAACAAAATAAAGTTAAAAACTAGTGTAAAGTTTCTATTTTAAATACAGCATCACTACATGTAAGAACTCAGTTCTCCCAAATAATGTTGCCATTTTATTTATATAATAATATAATATTTGAAAAGGATAGAATGACAATGCTTAAGACAACAGTCTTTGGAAAGTTGATAACCCAATAATACTGAAACATACAAAGTAGGGAATATCATCCCTTATTTGTAAATTGAAGATGAGTTATATTTGATTGAATAAAATGAATATGAATCAGAATGAATTTATACAAAGCAATTAACTTGGAATTAAATGAAATGTGTGTTGTATGAGGGACATTAAAAATGCATTTGAAAAATTCATAATTTCTGAAACTTTGACATTTCTAATCATGGCAGCAATGTTTATGTCCTTAAGAGTAAACTAGTATCCTTTATAGGTAATTTGCAGATTATAATTATACATATTAACACTCTTGGTTTAGATGTCTAAAAATACTACATTATAAGTTCCAAGAATGAGAAATAATAGCTATTGTATTCATATGTCTAATTCTTAACAAGGAGACCACCATAGGTAGGACGTGCATGCTACATCGAAAATAAATGGCCAATACTTTGCCCCTTTACGATTGCCATTAATTCCTTATTTTATCTTCCTATTCTGGTCTATATTTTTAAACTGAAATATAGCCCAATTTCAATAAAATAATGATGCAATTTTTATCTAATTTTGCTTATCTCTAGGTTTAACCTGTATGTTAAAAGTTTGCCATAAATATTATATGGACAGGAAGTTCTGAAAATCCATTCTCAACATTTAACATTTGTGGACAGAAAACATTTTTTAAAATAATTGTATATATTTTTTATTTTAAAATTGTGGGGTACAGTTAAGGGTTAGGTATACAAATATTCATTGTGCAGGTACCCTTGTTGATGAGGTGTGCCCCTCCCTTCCCCAGACAGATATTGACTACCATTAATCCCACCTCCCTGTTCCTCCCTGCCCCCCACAGTTTCAATCCTAGAAAACATTTTCTTGTATAAATTATAGACATTCCTACCCAGAAAATATTCTTCTCAGCTACTGAGCTACAAAAATTAATATGAAGAGCCAACCTAAAATCTTTTATTTCTTCAAAGAAAGACCTTCTGTTTTGATTCCATAGTCTGAATGAATACTGATGCAGAATAAAAAGTTATTCTTAAGTGACCATACTTGGTTAAAGATATGCCTTAATTTGAGGGATTTTAATTCCTATATTATGACAAAGAATCTCAAAGCAAAATTTAATGACTTCAGATAACGTGAAACTTTTCCTATATTTGGTAATAAAATATCCAAAAAGTTAGGTATAGTCTCTTTGAACTTTTACTTCTCATTCAAATTTTAGACTGAAAAGTTCACGTGAGTAATAATCTAACAGTTATATATTCTCATGACAATAATTTATCATCCTCTATTTATTAAAGTGACAGCTCCTTACAACTAAACTTCAAGTTCTTCAAGCACTTTCAGAATTTATAAGTTTGATTTATACAAGTCCAGGGGAAATCTCTGCATAATCACTTTAAAGTGACAGGAATATAATTTTAAAAATTCAGAAAATATGTATTCAATCTATTTTTGTGGAATATTTTTGTGAAATATTTTTCTTTAGGCATAAAAAATGTTTTAGCACATAAAATGTCCATTAAGAGAAGTGAACATGCTTTAAAAAAAAAAGAAAAGGTATCCCTGTCATAGAACTATAACATCCATTACAAAAAGGAATCTGAGTTAGACAGGAACACCCCTTCCTTTCTATTTCCTCTACATTAGGCAGTAGTTTCAAATGAGGGAAAGATCTATAGCTTTTTTAAAGAACTGACATGGGAACTACACATTCACTTTTTTTGCAAAAAAGGCAATGCTTTTTTGCAGTAGATAGGAAACAAAATTATGACTCATTCATTCAAGAGGTATGGGCAATCTAAATCTCACTTTAAAAAGTGAAGAAAATATATTTTTCTCTCATTCTCACATTATTTAATCTATTATGAGTAAAACCCCTTTATCACATCAGCCTTTTATGTTTGATGTGCTATTTTTTTTTTCTTTAGCTATTCTCACATTTCAATCAGGGAAGCTGAAATCCCAAGTCAAATCTGAACGTGTTTACATGTCTGAACTCAAGCTGATAACATCCAAATAGTGGAGGAGGTGAGATCTTTCCAAAAACAAACATAATCAGTTCAGTGATTCCTCTCTCTCTTTTAAGATGGGTGGGTGGAGCCTTAATCACACAAACAACATCCTTTTTGTTTACAGCAGATAGTAATATAATATCAGTATATATAGATCTACAATATAATTCATTTGAGATGATAAAAATAATTATGCAATTTTCATAATGTGTATCAATATATTATGTTTTACTATCTTATTAAAATTTGTGTTTACTCAGTAAATTATTTGTGTTCATTTTTACTTAGAGTAGAGACCTTTACAATACTTGTCAAAGTGACATTAATAAACACGTTCAGGTCTTGTTTCTGAAGTTCCCTACCATTTATTTTTTAAATGTCAAAGAAAATCAGTCACTAGGGTTGTCTGAGTCACTTTTTTAAGTTACCTCTACACTAAGGTTCTTAAAACATTTTTTAAAAGTTGTATATAGTATCTACATGAATTACCGAAGTCTGTAGTATTAATTCAAAGAAAGAAGCAGGACATTAATTAGACTCATGATACTACTGTATGTTCCAATAACAATTGACAGCCAAGTTGTAAAGCCCTTTAAAGAAGAAATTGTATCTTATTTTTTCTCTATGCAGATCTTAAATGCAAAAAGACTGATCCTTTTATTATTATTATTGCTATTATTTGATAGAAGCAGGTCCTCTATATGGGTATCCAGTTCTGCACTAGTGCTTACAATTTGCATTTTGGTGAATATATTTTTAAGAAGTCACACAATAGGAGACTGAGCTGCCCTGTTGAATTTTGAAAGCTTACTTTCATTTGTTTTGCTGCGAGTGTTGATTTAATTATACTGCATTATTATCAAAGCTGTATTATGTACTTTTTTATTCCTTTTACATGTGTTTGAGGTGAAGACCTTGGCTTTGTCTGCAAACAGTGTGTTTCAAGTTATTCCTTAAGTACTAAATAATAAAGAAAAGAGAAGAAAAGATTTTTTTAAAAGATAGCAGACAGTGATCACAAGGTAAAGGGTTAAATGTAAGATCTCCAAGAAACATTTTGAAGTTGATTAAGACTCCAGCTTTGCATTAAACAGTATCGCTTCCACATGAGTTGCTGCTAATACTGTTAAGGAGCAGCTTGAGAGCCCAGTGCGCCAGTGACCTCCTTCACCCTCCAGCCACCCACCGGGCCTTCCTGATTAGCATTCTACCTGGTTCTCTGAGGAATTCCCATCATCCCCTAGGAGCTCATTCCGTACTTCGTCACTGTAGGCGATCCGTGACCTTTTCTATAAAACAAAACAAAAAGGGAGAGCAAAATGAACGTTAGAAAGTAAAGGCTTCGAAGCTTTATTGGTATCAAGGCTGATCATCTCAAACCTCGAGAGCCCCCTAATGGAAACCTATTGGCTACAATCTGCACACCAAAGTTGTGTAAAGTTCCTGAACTTGAGAAGTTTAATGTAAATTAGAAGTTTAGAAAATGTCAATAATGAAATAAAACTCGGCATTGTACAAGTATTCTGTTAATATTCATAAATAGATCTGAACTTGTATGTTATTCCATAGATCGTCATTCAAATAAGACCACTAACCAGAAAGAAATACAGTCACATAGCTGTGTATCTGTAAAACTCACTATACATCGTAATTAAAACAGGAGTATATGAGAGTCTTTAATACTGTGGCAGGAAATGGACCATACAAATTAGGTTTTTAAAAATCTCTAATTCTAGAATAATAATTATATCTCCAACTAAACCCTGGAATGCCTGGAAGAGCGTACCTATATTTCTTTCATTATTATAACACTACTAACCCGAAAGAGAGGGAACTTAAAAGTACATCCCTGCCCAAACAATAATTTAAATGTCTCCAAGTTCTCTATAAATAATGGCCTAAGGAAAAGTAAAGAAAGTGTGGCGTGTGTGTGTGTCTGTAAAATAAATTAAATTTCCCAGTCCCAGTAAGTAAAAGCAAGTAGGCTATGAGTCAACTTTTCACAATCCCAGAAAATAAAGACAAGTGAGCTATGAGTCAATGTGTCACACACTGACATTTTGTTTTACAAGAAATCTACTTTTCTCTGCAAAGTCAGAGGGACATGTCTGTAAGCAATTCATGAATTACCTAAATGTACACACATTTGGAAAAGCTAAAATACTGGAAATTAGTTGAAGCTAGAGTGTGGTCCTCAGATCCTACGTCAGCATCACTATTTCAGACCTAATTCAGATTCACAAGTTACTTTGTTGCCTTTTCTGCTTTCCAGTTAACTAAGCAAAACCAGTCAATTAAAAAGGTCAGTTGGAAAACAGTAATTTCTTCATCACTTAAGACTCTACAGTTTAAGATTTAAAATTTCTTACCTGTTCAACTATGATCTGAAAAAGTATTGTAGTTTAAAAAGACTATCTGTAACCCATGAGCAGAACTAGTGAATAAGTAATACTGCTTGGTCATATAGACTATAATACCTTAAACATCAGATCATATTAGCATTTTTTAAAACCTTAGACAAGAACAACCAATAGATTTTAAACCATTTTAAAGGTACCACCTTTCTCAATTGGAGTTCCTTATCTTAACCACAAAACACAGAAAATTATTCCAGTGACTATTTTCTCAATTCCCCCAAGGATTGCACATAAGAGAGAATTTAGTTCATTACCTGCAGTTGAAGACTAACAGGCTAAGTAGCTAGCAAAACCCAGTCGAAAAAGCTGACTGAAGTAGAAACGAAATAAAAATAAGTCTAGACACTGCTTGTTTTCTGGGGGGGGAAGGGGAGGAAGGAATCAGTCTCATGGAAATCTAAAGGTAGTTTTGGTTAAACTAACACTAGAACTCCGTGGTCCTGACTCACAGCTCAGTACTTATTCTACCACACAACATTTCTTCCCCATTCTCTTACTCTCTGAAATGACTCAGGAAAAAGGAATAAGAATGGCAAAATGTTTCCATATTAAGGAGATAGTGACACCCCTTCCTCCACACCAGTTTCCATCCCCGCTTCCTTGCCACAAATGTATTTCTTATATCTTTAGCAATTGCAATAAGTCTATAACTAGATAAATAAAACCAACAATGTTGCAGAGAGGACAAAGTAAAGAAGTTAAGTGTTCACAATAGCATGCAAAGTCAGGAAAGACATCTAAATCAGATTTCTTGACAATTCAGGAGTGACCCAACTCCATCCATTCATTTGTGAACATGCCAGACATTTTATCATCAAAAAGAGCATATATTAAACCTGCTTCTCTTATTGTATTTACTAAAGTCAATATTAATTAGCTATATCAATTGACTTCACACAGAATAATATTTAAAAATGCTACATTATTAGGGCAGTCCATTTCATGGTCTTAATATAATATTTAGATCAAGCCAACGCTTTCTTTTGCTCATTTGGAGATCCCACTACAGTAGTTTCAAACTAGCTAAGCACAAGTATTTTACAGCATTAAAGGAAATGAGAACCTTTAAACAGGCTATGGTATCAGAGCTGCCTTTTTAATTATTCATTTCATCACTATGGGGGACTAAAACATTCCACAGTATGCAAGAATATCATATGGAGATTGTTTTTGTTTTTGCCTCTTTTCACCAAAATACCAACAAATTGGCATAGATTGTTCAATTACATTATATTCTTATTTTGATTTATTATACTTCAAAAGAAGAAATTAACAAATATGTATTGCTAAGTATCTAATGTCGTTTTAGTTAGAATCCACTGCTTTTAAAATCAGCAATTAAGAGTACATGCTCAGCAACAGAGGAGACTAAGGATTTATCTAGAGTTGAAGGGTGGTCCTTATAAATGTCACTCTTTACCATTGGGATGGTAAAGACTGGTCATTTGGATGGCTTTCTACATATAATTAAGTAAATAATATGCTGAGTTAACAAAGTATTCTCTGATGGGATTAACTTCTCTTAGAGAATGAAAAGACAACTCATTTTAAATATCAGAAATAGTTCCTCATGAACATGATAGAACAATGCTAAAGATGGAACTCTTCACATGTGAGTTTCATTTTCCAAAAATAAAACAAACCACGACTTTGTTTTACTAAGAATTATATATATTTAGATGCCCAACATTGATATTTTCTCATAATTTTTTATGATTTAAAATTTTAGGTAAGCTGATTGTAATCAACCATAATTTAGTCTGTAAGATTATCACTAAACTAACTGAATACCGAAAAAAGGGCAAAATCCTTTAAATGACAAACTGCTTATTTTATGAATAATTTTCCTTTAAAACATCAATAAATTATGTTACCTTTCATGGACCTAAACACATTTTATGCTACATTACTAAGTATCTGCATAATACTTTAATTTAGAGGACTCAAAGTTAATGAAACTGAAATACCTACTGTATCTTGATAAGCCTAACTAAAATATTTTTACTTTATTATCAACTGTATAAAATCTGTACTTTAGCCAAATGCAAACATGAGAATTTGAGCTGGAAATGTCACACATTCAGCTACAGTTTGAAGGAACCCAATTCATAATGCATTTTATAAATAGTTAATGACTTCTATACATAAGCTAACCAGGCAAATCAAGAAATTGTCAACATTTTTAGTCTTAGTTGTCAGTTACCACTGTCTACTGGTGCTTTATATGTGGCTTCTGGAGAAGACAGAAGCTCAATGCAGTTTGTAATCTACTGCAATTTCTAGTCTCTACCATAAGAGTAGAAAAGCTTCAACTGACAATATTTGCCACACTTACATACACAGAGTTAAATACAAGAGCACTCCTCACTCTTAATTGTGTGGTTGTGTAAAGCTTACTCCTTCTAACTTATATACTTAGGTGGATTAGATACAGTCGGACAGAAAATCTACAAACCACATATGAACTACCGAAAAAAAAGTCAAATTAACAACCGATTGTTACTCCTAAGCAGTTAGACTCACAAAGTTCCAATGACTATTTTAAACTGATGATACAGTGAGTCTTTGGTTATGAAAGCAAGAATTTCAGATTCAAAGCGATTTTTCGATTTTCACTTTGTATATGAACAGGAGTTTTGCATACTGATTGGCTAATTTTCTTAAAGCCAAGTTCAAACAGATACATTTGCTCAGTTTTGTCTGGAAATTTGGCTTGAAACAATCTATCTACTTGACCCAAGCCTTGACATTTCCCAACTGAACTGACTGTGTTCCTGGACAGGCACTGCTAAATTAGAAACAAAACAAATTAACTTAGCTTAAACTAATTAAAAACTGTGATCTGTGGTACCACCTCCCCTATGATTCTACATGTGAAACAGGGTATACATAACCAGAATGAGGATTCTACAGCCCAGAACTAGCCAAAGCATAACAATGAAGTTGGTTTATTACTAAAGCGTATATGAGAATTTAATTTCCACAGCGTGCACATGGCAAAGCAATTGCTTAAATTGCCTCACCTGGGAATTTAATACAATGTTATCATCAGACCAGCCACATTGTAAATAGATTTATAATGCTTTCCATGTGCTGTACTCTGTTGCATATGAATTAAGTAATGATCTGGTATTACAATAAAATCAGCTAGTTCCCACACCTGGCAGACAGGATATTTCACTAAATTAATACCCATACAGCTACATCACAAGGCATGGGAAGAGGAAACCATCTCAAAAGGCATTCGACTCGAGTTTTACATGGGAAGCAAATACTCTGTGGCTATGTACAATGTCACTATGTCCAATGAGCTGCTCAAGACAATCTGTTTCTAACATCTGCATCACAGAATTAAGACATTCTCGTTCCCATTCAATTTGGGTCTAATTTTCTTCATTCAATACTTTAATTACTAATCAGCAATCCACAACATTTGCCAACACTAAGAAAACCCTTTATTCTAATCTGTGTGCTGCAGACAGTGTGCAGTATGGTTTTGGTAAGTAATGAAAGAACAGCTTGTCCTATTTCCTAATCAAATGAGTCTATAGAAGAAATGGTTAATAGATTTCTCTGTAGGTCTAAAACAAATTACCCAGTCTGGCCAGACTTTTCCATTGCTTCTACCATGTCTTTCAGTCTACATATATTTAATAATGCCCAAGGTTACCAGGTGATACATGTATTAAAACTGCTATGCTTTCATAGCCAAAGAATTTAACTGCTCTAAGGAATTTAACTGCTCTTGTTATAATTAACACTTTGGGATATCTACAGAATACCATGAAATTATATTTATTAGCTAGTATTACTTTTACCTAATTTTATCTGTTTTTCATTAAATAATATCATACTTCTGTAATGCTCAGATG